ATTTCAATTGGGTTCACAAACTTTTTAAAGTCATTTTTCAACCAATATTATAATTAAATATATTTACAATTAAATAAACAATATTTACTTTAAAAAAATCATGCAATATACTATGGATCATAATTATGTGCATACAAGTCGGACACTAGCTTCGTCGTCCATTTATTAGTATGTGTTTTGTTTATCAACTCTACACCTTGTCCAATACTCAAAAATTCAATGTACTTGTCTAGTTATATATAGGTTATTGTTGAGACTTATTCTTGAGAGAAAAATGGCTCCTTTAATTTGTGCTTATTTACCATATCTTCTCCATTTCTTTCTTTGCCTTTGTGGCTGCAATAATGCCTTCACCTTGTGTCCTAAGTGAGTATAACCAAGGCAACCGAAGTGTGGGTCGATAGTTGTAGGATTTGGGTAGAGATTTAAGGGTATCAATTTGGTTAGATCAAACTATGCTCGGGAAACACCTTAGTTCAATCAATCTTCCGCTACATTGTTCTTACTATGGAAAACTTGAGGTGGGAAGAGGCGTGAGAGATCTTTTGGGGCCTTGAGAATTTAGTTGGATGATCAGAATGCACCTCTCTATTCTATCTTCTATTTTTTATCCTAATGGCCATCCCATCTTATTTGAAGGTTTTTTATTAGACTGGAGATGGCAAAAATATTCGTTAAACCCGATACTCACGAGGATCTACCCTCGAATGGAATGAGAATTACTTGCTTAATCGGGTACTAGACGGGGAATTCCACCCCGAGGCTGGTACGGGTAACAAGGGCCTCGTCTTGTTTAATTTTTTATTTATTTAAGATTTCAATACATTAAACTCTTGTTTGATTCCTATTATTTTTAAAATACATTTTCCTTTCTCTTCTTTTCAACCACTCATTCTTTAATAAAATAATATTACACGTAAATTCAAAACATTTCCTTATTTTTTAACCACACATTCTCTATCAATCTACTATTCTAAAATGCATTATTAGGAAATAATGGGGGCTCAAACGGACCCTAAATAGAAAAATTTCACTAATTCTAATAGGCGATAGTAACTAAAATTATCTAAAGAATATGATAAAAAATAAAAACTTTAGCTTACCAAATTTATTCAAATAGTTTAACTTTTAAAAATAAATAAATGAATCAATTTAATAACCATATTATTGCCTCACTTAAATGAATGGAGTCACTAAAATGAATTATCAAAAATTAAAAAAAAATTAAAAATTAAACAGGTTCGTAAACGTGGCAATCACCTCGACCCGCCTCGTGCCCGCCTGATCTTAAACGGGTAATGGGATGTGTATAGGGTAGGAAAGAATCCATCCTATTGCCATCCCTAGGCTGGACTTTTTTAGGGGAACATCCATTTCTTATCATGCTTGTATATGTACTTCATTTGATGAAATTTTTGATTGATTGAAATAATTTTAATAAAAACTTGTGAATATATGAACTTTTTCATTAAGAAATAAATACAACAACACTATTAAATGTCTAACATTAAATACATTGCTTGCAACTCACTGGTTATAAAATTAAAATAAAATAAACGAACGAATAAAAAAGAAAAACTTTTGAACTTGCCATTTAATCCCACCCATCAGCCTTGCCCGAGCACATCCCATGTACAATTAGTTACCGAAGTGCATATATATACTAGTCAGTTACAAGAAATAAGCGTCCAAATGTCATCTCATTGAAATCTCATAACCAGTACTTTCATATGACTGGTCACAGGGACACTGCTGGTCCAGAGAGATTTCGAAGTCTCATTCCAAGCTACATTAGAGATTCTTCTGTAGCAGTCATTGCCTATGATGTTGCAAGTAACTCATAAATATTTTTCTATTAATTCTCTGCCAAAACTCGCATCTTTGGTTATTCTGCTAATATACTGCTAGAGACACTTCAAAGTGGATTTAGGAAGTACGAACAGAACGAGGGACTGATGTCATCATTGTTCTTGTAGGGAATGAAACTGATCTTGTTGAAAGGTGTGGAGAAAATTTCCATGATTTTCTACCTTTGGTACTTGCTAGTAATGAAGTCAATCTAAGGGTTCATATCTCTGATCTATTTATAGATCAGGGTTTCTTCAAAAAGTGGCCAGCATTGTTCTGACGATTCATTCTTGTGTATAAACGGGCAATTTTCCATTGAAGGAGATGGAAGGGCTAGTGAACCTGGTGTCATATTTATAGAATCGGAGAATCACAACAGGAGGCTACCCTTGCTGAAGATTTTATTTAAGACGAAAAGAAAGGGAGGAAAGTTAGAAATACCTACTACTAAAAAAACTCATGCTAATGGTGTCTTAAACAGCTAGTTCTCGTTTTGGATTAGGGGAACCTTTTTTTTTTTTTTCGGCCTTCTAAACAACAAATCTCAGGATGCCACAGTTGAAGGTGAAATGGTGTTTCTTCACCAGTGTACTTAAACCTCAATATTGTTGAGTTTTAAGGAAACAAATTTTGCGGAATTCAATTATAAAATGTTTTTGGATTTCATTTTCCTTCACAGGGGAATGCAATTTCCTACTGCAAAGTCTGTCTTTCATCGTTTCTCACAAGTGGTGTCATATGACATCACAGCTGTAGAGAGAAACCCAAGAGTCTTAACTGTTTGTTTTCTTGTTTTCTTCAATTCAAATATATCGCTTGTATTGTGTTATGCTTTTTTATGCCCTTGTACAGCCTAGATCAGATGGCTATAATAAGACATCTTACACAGCAAAACATTCCTCGAAGCAATCTGGACTATGCACAGAATTTCTAAAAAAGAATTTTTTGCACAATAGTCTGCAAAACAAACACCATATCCATACTAGCAAGAATCAAACCAAAATTTTTGTACAAAAAGGTATCCAGTGGACTATCTAAATGTGGTTTCAGATTTTTTTCAGTTTATGTGCATTAACAAAAAACCTAGACCACAGTACCACGAAGGGATATAAGCAGAGCAATGGAAAGAAAAAAGAGCAAGGTAAAAGCCAAGTGTCCTAATGAGATTGCAAGGGAAAGCAGATGTGTCAAACATTACCAGACCAATCACCAATCAGCCACATCCGCATAGTCAGATATATTAGGATCATCGTTCCCAAGATCGACTTGGGGAGGAAAAGATAATCTAGTTAGTTACTGGCAACCAAAGTAATGGTGAACAAAACCTAGAATTTGGTTTAAAGAATAATTATTTCAAGAAGAATGAACAACAATAATCTAAAAGCTTCAAGGAGATCATATAGGTGAAGTGAACTTCTAATTATTCAAGAAGAATGAACAACAATAATCTAAAAGCTTCAAGGAGATCATATAGGTGAAGTGAACTTCTAATTATTCAAGAAGAATGAACAACAATAATCTAAAAGCTTCAAGGAGATCATATAGGTGAAGTGAACTTCTAATTATTCAAGAAGAATGAACAACAATAATCTAAAAGCTTCAAGGAGGTCATATAGGTGAAGTGAACTTCTCTCAGTCTCTCTCTCATTCATGCACACATAGAGACTCAAGAATGCACCATTTTTTACTATACACATGAGTGACATAAATCTAGAATTGTTACAATTGAAACTTCACTTTAACATAATATCTTCTACCTTAATTATCAAAAACTGGTCTATCATGATGTTTCACTAAATTGAAGACTCCTCCACCCCCACAACTCTCCTCCAGAAAGTGCAACAACAAATACAATGAAAACAACAAGAACTAAGTTGAATAGCGTTTGTAGCACCAACTCAAACATTATTCTAACTATGGAAGCATAATATCAACTTAACCAATTTAGCATAGTCTGCTACACAATAGTTTTTCAATTACTCCAGTTACATAATGGCCGAAACTATAATTTCACATTGGACATTACATTAGGTATCCTATCCAATTTATCATTTATTTATTTTTTGATATAGTTGATTGTTTTTATCACCAAAACAGTAAAGAAAAACTAGTAGACAGCAGAGTACTACTTGGGTTTCAATGACTAGTACAAACAAATATAAATAAACAATCTGTGGTCCCAAAAAGTGGGTAATTATCAACCTCTGCATTTCCTTCAGCATGGTGGTTCTACAATTACAATGCCGAAAACAATGAAATGAGAATACCAAGTTGGTTATACAAATTTATATCATGAAATCAGGCATTTCAAGCTTTATCCATAAACCTTGAAGACTACTTGTCATTTTCTTCATGTACTTTGACATCAACTTTCAAGCCATCGCGCATTTCCTGCTTTATTAGTAAACCTTGAAGACTACTTGTCATTTGCTTCATCAACTTTGACATCAAGTTGTAAAATCCATATTGTAAGAATTATTTGAACAGGTAATCCAACTTCATTTAAATGAGATTGTTCAAAAACTAAGGTGATGTGGTTTGATCTTACGAGATTGAGAACAGAAGAACTATTCTCCTTGAATTGAAGGAGGTGGATCGCTTGTATTTCCTTGATCTGTTAGTAAGTGTATCATAAACTCTCTCAGTCAAAAACCTATCTGTTAAATAATACGGAAAATATTTGTTAGCAAGTGAATCTCATAGTCCACAAGGCATATGATTCTAAAATATCAAAAGTCTCAGTTCCGACTTTCCAAGAAAGAAAAAGGAATGAGGAAAAATGAAAGCAATGTGAAAGGGTATTATCTCTTAAAACTTCCAGTCCTACTGGCTAATCCAATAAACAGAATGGTCTATTAGCACAAGTTTTACCTTTCGAGACCTTAAGGATGAAGAGTGAAAATGATGTGTATCAGGCTTCTGATTTATGCCAAACTCGGAGTCTCACATTTGGATGGTGTCAATGCTTCTGATTTATGTTAGACTCGGGGCCAAAAGTTTGGGAACCAAATTTATTTTGGAATGGATGAGTTCCAAGTATTCATATTCAAAGTTAGCACCTTTGATATGCCAATACAAACTATCAAATCGGTAACAACTTGTTCCAATTGGAATCGAATAATACTCCCCCAGGCCAGTGCTCTTCACCTCGATTATTTCATTGTCTAAAACCATTGAGTTCAGTATCTCAGAAACTTGCTGGATAGAGATTTCGAACATCACCACTCGTTGCTTCTTCAAATCCTCATGAACTCTCTCGATAGTAGCAACCTTTTGAACACGTATACACCGTAAGCACAACTGTTTCAATACATTAATGAGTTCTTTGTCGAGATTTCCATCAACATACCATACACCTCCGCTAATTTCCTTTGAGGGTTCGAACTCGACTGCCATGTAGTGTTTTTTCCCTTTGTACTGGATATTTACGACCTCTTTTATCAATTTCCTAGTCAACAATGACTTGAGCGATTTGTTGACGACATGATCAGTGAGCTTTGTCTCGTGTTTGATATCTCGTACCCAAATCCCCAAATCTTTTTTACTTTTGATTGCATTAAGGATTGCACGCTCAGCATCTACAAGACCCAATGGATCTACCTCAGGTCTTTTCCTCTTAAGAGAGCTAGTCTCAAGTGATCGACTCATTCCTGACAAGAATGATTATTAATATAAAGAAAAAAGAACAGTCTCTAACACTTTAATTTCTTTAAATCTATGAAAAAATACACTGATTTGTCAACAATAACAAACATATATTAACGTAAAACCAATCAAGGCTTCTATTTGACAAAATTTCAATCTCCCTGACAACCATAGTATTTTAAGCTCAGATGCTCGGACTCTTCATTTCGGCCGGAGTACCCGTGTCGACACGACACGACACGGGTAAACTATCAAAATAGTCCATCAAAATAGTTCTCTCAAACATCTATCAAGCTCGATCTTAAGGTTGGAAAAGGTTTATTGAAAAAGTTTGACTCTAACCAACCCATTTCAAGGATTAAGATAAAAAGTAAGAATAGAATCAAAAAATTATATCTACGACAGAAGCTAATTTTAGGAATCTTCCAAACTGAATGGCTAGATGAATAGAGCATTTGAAAACATAATGTTTTGACGCGCAAAATTGAAGTGCATACACAATATTTCTACACAAATACATTCAACAGAACTGTGCTATGAAAAGAACAAAGTAGTACCACAGTAAAAAATTTCCTTTGTACATCAAGAAATCATCTAGGATATTTGAAAAGATTGATCGAGAGAGTAGTTTGGCGAGTGAAATCTTTCTATCTAAACTACAGTTCTGAAATTTATAAGGAATTCGCAATTTAAATTTTTAGTGGAAAATTATGCATTTTGTTCAATTAAAAAGTTGGGTAAATCAAATCAGTACATGAATTTGTTCAATTTTTTAAATCAGAATTTGAGTAAAACCAAAAAAAAAAAAAATCATAAATTCTCCACCACCTCTCTCTTTGAGTCAAGCTTTGAAGAGGTAAATCACCAACAAGCCCAGTTCTTGATTTACAAGGTTATGCATAGAGCAGATTATGGGAGAAAACCTTCATGGTTAAAAGTGAAAATTTTCAAGTTGAAGATTAAAGTTGGAAATAGATTCAAGAACTTGAGAAAGAACATTTCATCAACTCTATCTTCTGCTAAATCTAGAGTTTGCAAAAAAAAATTAACATTTAGTTGTAAGCTTGGAAGCCCTCGATCCATGGCATGGCAGAGAGGAAGTAGTAATCAAACACCCCCCTACAGCCCAACCCCCAACCAAATTGTTGAGACTTGAGTTGAATTAAGTTTTTCCCTCTATTGTTTCAGAGAAGAAAAATTTGGGATGATAATAAACACCTAGAGATTTCAATTTTTATGCAATGAAGGGGCTGAGTTATCTCTCTCCCCTTAAATCTTCTGATATGGGCTAGTAGTGTAATTAAATCAAATCTAAAGAGAATTAGAAACTCCGCAAGTTATCTTCCGTACCCACATATACCAACCAAATCTCCACCACCACCACCGCCAAATTCCAGCCACCGCAAACCCAACAATTATTATCAGACAAAACCCACGATTAAGAAATACTCACTGACTGACCAAGTGTTAATGGCCCGTAAATCATCATTCCGATTGACTATAAATTTCAAAAATTCACAGTGAAAAAACACGCATTTGAAGGATAACCAGCAGAGAATGGACAGAAGAATTCTCACAGGCCCGTGTAGCTGTGCCAACAAGCCCCGACGGGTGGGGAAGCCGAGTTCTCCGGGGTCGGCGACAGCTATTGCGCGAATGGAAACCTTCGATTTCTTCCTCTCCACTACAACGTCTCTCAAACAGGAAACGATTGTGATGGGGAAAACAGAGACCGAGGGACTGCTGACAGCTAGACCGGCTGCTGAAGGAAACCCTTGTTTTTTTCTCTAACTCTAGATAGAAACCAAAAGGAAAGGAAAGGCGCTATTATTGACGCCTCCCACCCATTATAGGAATGGCTCAACTGATTAACAATGAGCCACTATGTAGTGGTAAAATCTGGCTTATGAGCCAGCCAATAAATTGCGACTTGTAATTGTGGCTTGTGAACAGTACCATCCCATTGCCTCTTTTAATTTGTAGTTAGATATTTTTATTTATTTATTTTTATTTTATTATTTTTTTTTCTTTGGTATCTTTTCGTTTGTTTGTTAGTATTTATTAATTATTTTAATTACAAATAAGTATAATCATTTTCGATGACATTTGACATTCAACAACAAATTCTTGGATTTCCATCTACAATGACTGCAATTGCAATGAAATTGAGTATGTTTAACGTCTAAATTTAAGATTGAGAGGGTGTTTGGAAATCATTTTTATGTAAAAATGCATTTTGAAATAGTAAATTGATGGAAATGTGTGGTTGAAAAATAAGGAAAATTTTTTATTTACGTGTAATATTATTTTAATAAAAAATGTGTGGTTGAAAAGAAGAGAGAGAAAAATACATTTTGAAAAAAATGGCTATCAAACAGGGCCTGAATATTAATCTACCATAAAGCGTTAAATATTACAGAGTAATGTTGTAATCTTTCGAAAACCATAATTTCTAATTCTTCTCACGCCATGATTTCAACCAGAGTGCATTATGCTAGCATTGAACAACATCAACCAAGGTTGTCATTAAGTAATCTTAGTTAGAATGGATCAAATGGTGATTTTGTATAGAGAGAGATGTTCTGTTTTGACATAGTAGGTTGGTTCTCAAGTTCTTGGAACTTGAAGTGTGTGTGACTCCACAAATGCAGTGTTCTACGAACGTAACTGTTGGGAATCTACTTATACATGCACAGCGAAATTTAAAATAATTTTTGATTCCCACCAAGAATCGCCTTTATGTTTGATAGAAATTGTGATAAGATTGTACCTTTTTCTAGATTTGCAATCTTTTTGCTTTTCTTTTCGTTCCATCAACATTGATTCGCCACCACAGCTGTCCAATTGTTCAGCCTCCAACGGTGATCCACACAGAGAATAAGATTGTAGCTTCTAGAGTTTTTTTCTTGTGCCAGCAAGAATAATGAAAAACCCATATGGATCTCAAACACAAACCATGTATTTATATAAACCCAAACAGACTCGGTCCGGTCCGGTCCAATATTTAATTAATCCAATTAATTAAACCCGGTCCGTGAATTAATTAATCTAATTAATTAATTCGGGAATATAAATAACAAATCCAATTAATTAATTTATCCAACGATTGTTAAATTAACTAATTGGCAATCTGCAATCTTCCAATTCTCTTTTGTGTGCGACCCATTAGGTTCCCGACCACGATGCCTAACGACGTGAAATATTATTTTGATCTAATCAAAATTAATAAATTAAAATACCCTTATAATTTATCGTCAATTCACACTCGCCGTCCCTGATTGACATCTAGCAATGTGTCAGGGCAATACATGTGACGGAAAATGTCACGTGGTATGATAAAACCAAATTCGTTCGTTTACCGTGAAACTATAATCCCTTCGTCAATATGATCCGATCAATTACGAAATATGGAATTGTGTCAATCTCAATTATCAATCATATCTTTCACTCCACTATTAAGTCAATATAAGTCGAAAACTCATTTTCGACTTATAAGTACACCTTGGCCAAGAATTTCATCATCGACTCAATCGAATGAAACGCAGATCATAATCTCCTACTAACTAAGAGTGATGAATCATTTATTGATCAATCACAACCTTCATACGATTCTTGAAGTACCCGAACGATATCGTATTAGCGGCCCTTTTCAGAGCAACATCCAACACCACCAAAGTATGACTGTCCTCATATAAGGTACCATGACGACCTCAAGTCAAAGGACCAATTCCACTACCGAACGTTAGAAATTAGCCACTGACACTCAGATAGTTATCCATGTGAAATCTCTCGACGGGTCTCCAATGTTTTGTTCTATAACAAAACATCCACGTGTTCATTTAAGTGTCTCCACATTTTAACTTGTGAAATCAACTACTTACTTCACAAGTAAGAAATGCCACACGTGATGGTCTATCCGTAATAACGATATATGTATCTCGTTATTACTTACGACCACGGATGATTTAAGATTCAATCAGATGTAATTTGTATCTCACAATCACAACTCCTTGTGATTAACAAATTACAAATATTTGAATCTACGGAGTCTATTATTTATTTAATTGTCTATTAATTAAATAATAGATCTGCCATTTAATTGCATTAATTATATATAAAAGTATTTATGTCCAAAATTGATTGAACCTAGTACATAATACTTACAGTAACATCCTCATGTGCAATAAGTAGAATTTATCATTAAGTACCTGTTCGACAACTATTAATTTAATTAATAATTTGTTAGCCCAAAATGCCATCTTTTAACCTCTGTTTGGTTTCCATTTTTTTCTCATTAAAATGAAAAATATCATCATTATCCATCACATCGAGTCATCGAATTTGAATTTCCATCTTTTATGTGGAACCTATATCGACTATATTTTTCATTCTCATTTTTCCAAAAATAAGAAATAAATGGGGGCTTACATTGTTTTTCTGTGTCATTATCAGCACTGTTATACAGAATTTTTTGATTGAAAACAGTAACATAGCCAGAATTTTTGTTGCTTGATATTTTATACTAGTGGGTCAGTGTGTTAACTGTAGGTACTGGAGCAAAGAGGAAAATCACGAGAGATTTTATACTTAAGAGTAATCACTTACCAGTGTTCATGTTAGGTTGTGCTTAGAAATAATTCAAAAAATTATTTTAAGTTAATTGTTTTATCAAACAAAATATTTACACAGTTTTATCAGATGAGTAACGGATAAACACAATAATATGTTAGTTACAGCAACATGGAGTAGTTTAAGAATGCTCAAAAATTCAGGATGGGCTCATCTCGGCCAGATTGGTACATATGAATGACTTAGGGTGTTGCTATTTACAATTGTTATATATTTATCTCACTATATATCTATCCCTGTTAAAATATTGAAATTTTGAAAAACAAAAACTACCATTTTCATTTAGGTCAATTTTCAATATTGTCCGTATTAAATTCATTAATTTAAACACTATTTAACATCAATCTCTCACAATTCAATAATTAATCCTATAAACCAAATACTATAAGATGGAATTTCATCTTAATTAATCTCCCGCTCTCTCTAGTAGGAGCAACTTGTATGATTTATGTATCAAGTCTTAAAACTTCGAGCATCAAACTGCTATTATAAAATAACTCAAATACAAATCAATAATCATTCACATAATAAATTTATCAAATTCACGATAAAACATGATCCTTACTTTTTCGAATTCTTCTTCATATATTGTTATGTCCGTGTATATTTCCTTTAACAGTATCTCTTCCATCGTTGTTTTGAGTTTAGCTAAAAAATTGGTATATTTTCTCCCTTCCCTTTAGTTTTATAACATATTATGAGCACGATAGTTTAATTTTTT